GAAGGAAGGGAAGTCAGGAACGTGGAAACAGAGCTGCTTTCTCTCCATTGGCCTCTCCCACTCCCAAACCAACAGGCTTTATTGAGAGCAAATTTACGTGTCACACAATCCACCCATTTAAAAGGTGAAATTCCACGGTTTTTAGTGTGTTCACAGAGTCGTGCAACAATCACCACGGTCGATTTTGTAACATTTTCATCACCTCCCAAAGAAGATGCCCCTTGGCACGTACCCCCCCTCCTTGCCTACCCCTCCCCTCCGGCCCTCAGCAACCACTGCTCTCTGTAGTAATCTACGACACAGTAACTGCCACCACTAGGAATCTACTCCCTTGTCTCCAAAGATTTGCTTCCTCTGGACTTCCTGTATAAGTGGAGTCATGCAACACGTGGTCTTCGGTGACCGGCTTCCTTCACGGAGCAAGCGGCACGTCTTCAACGTTCATGTGATAGTCTGATCCAGCTGCTTTGATTTGACAGGGCTTTGGACAGCTGGGACCTACGTCATGACCCTAAAAGCCATCCTATTAAGCTTAGTTTCGCTTACTGTTTTTAATCGCGCGTTCCTGTGCACGCCAGTTGCTCGGCGATGGTTTGAACAGCCAGTGATGGAGTGTTAGGAGGCTGCCTAGGTAATAAGACAGCCCACCCTTGAGCTGAGGATGGCAGGAAGCAGCGGGAGCCCATGTTAGCCAGCTGGGGCTCCCCCTGAGGCTTCCGTGACCCAGAGGGAATGGAAGGGCAAGAGTAGATTCGACGAGACCCTGGACATCCCTCGGCATATTTAGGGGAGCCGCTAGCCCCACAGCCAGCGTTCAGTAATAGTTAACAGTTCTGGAACACGTACTTCATTCCGTGCCCCATTCGAAGCATTTTACATGCATGAACTCATCAACTCCCTCCAGTGACCATATATCATATGTGCTACCCTCATCATCCCCCATTTTACAGATAGAAACTGAGGCACGAAAAGAAGCTGAGGCACACAAAAGCTTAAGGTAGCTTGTCCGAGGCCACAGAACTAGTGAATGCAGAGCCAGGATTTGAACCCAGGCGGTCTGGCTCAAAGCCTGAGCTGTGTGCTCCACTGCCCCACAGACAGCACGATAACATAGTCAGCTGTGCACGCTTCCTGGAATAGACCAGGCTAATTCTGAATCTCGTGGGGACTCTGGGGCTATCAGCCACTTGCTGGTGTGTATGAGAAAACGACGGTGCAGCCTCCGGAAGACAGGGCACGTGTTGCACACTGGGTTGGAGCAAAGGCTGACGGGTGTTAGCAACTCTGTTTACAAATGAGGAAACTCAGGGTCAGAAAGGCCCGCATCCAACATACGTCAGAGCCAAGACTAGAACCCAGGTCTGACTCTGAATTAGTTGCTCTTTCCACTTCTATCAAATTGTCCTTGTGCACTGCCAACCGCATCAGACTCGAAAGAAATGTTTTCCTTATGCTTGTCCAATGGTTAACGGGTCTTTATAAAGAAACTTAACATACCGTGTCTCCCAAATTACATTTTTTAAGGTCCTGTCTCTGTAATGGCACTAGAACGAGCATCTCTGTCCCTCTTCTCTGTTGTCCCTGCTGTTACCTGGGACGCACCTAGCCCCTAGCCCTGCCTGCACCGCTGCCACTAAGCCTGCCTGGATGAGCCACCAGGCACCTGGGGCTGTGGGCTACACTGATTCTGAAACCACGAGAGCAGTCGGCACGGTGTCCTGCCCATCGAGGGCTGCTGAACTCTGCCTATGCTGCTGGGCCACAGCACCACATCCCGGGAGGAAATGGGAAGCCCTGAAGGTCCTCAGGAGGGACACACTCCTCGGGTCAGGGGCCTGCCTTTCCTGCAAGCACAGTACTTCACCTGGGTTTTCCCTGGGAGAGATTCTCAGAGGCCAGGCACCTGCTATTTTCAGATCCTTAAAGCCTATAAGTGGGTAGGGAGGGGATGTCGGGGACTTTTTTTAGACTTATACGAAATATTTGCTGGGTTTAAAAAAATAATAACTTAATGTTTATTTTTGAGAGGGGCAGAGGGGGAGGGGGAGGGGCAGAGAGAGAGGGAGAGCAGGCTCCAGGCCCTGAGCCGAGAGCACAGGGCCCGACGTGGGGCTCGAACTCACGTGAGACCGTGACCCGAGCCGAAGTCGGATGTTTACCCCCGAGCCACCCAGGCGCCCCTTATGTGAAATATCTGATCAGCGTTCGCATCCGCTCCCACCTCCTCCAAAACAGGCTGTTTCCTCTGTCAGGGCCACCGTTATCCCAGCGCGTCCCGCGGTATCTACAGATGCTCAAGAAATGAGGAATAAGGGGAGCCAGCAGCATGGGTGGAGGACATGAGGTTTTTTCCTGGCCGTGACATTCCAGGATTTCTTACCTTCTGTCACCTAAGCCACAGAAATCTTCCGGCGCCCACTCCTCCCGTCTGCAGTCTGCAGGGAAGTGCCCGCAGGGCTGGCCGTGCAGCCCCAGGAGCAGTGTCCCCACCTTTGTGAGCGAAGCCAGCTCAGCGCCGATAAGCAGGTGGCCCAGAGTTCCGTCTGTGGATCCCTTCCTTGCCCTGTTCTGTGTATCCTATGATTTCATCTAGTCCTGTGACTGCGAATACCGTCTCTAGTGAGTTTTGTTTCCAGCCTGGATGCCTCCTCTGAGCTCCAGATGTGGGTGTCCATTCGGCTCCCTGCACTGTTGTCTCCACTTGGGGATCTACAGACAGTCCAGACTTTCGTGAGCAAGCAAGACCTGTTCATCCCCCATCTACCCTCAGTCGCATTTCTTTCCCCAACAAGCCGTCCCCAACCCAGGAAACAATACCCCTGAGTCCCGTTGTCCAAATCAGACTTCCGGGAGTCGTCCTTGGCCACTCTCGTCCCTTGCGTCCTAGACCTGGCGCATCAATAATTCTTCATTGTCCTACTTCCAGCGCACCTTTTCGCACCCCCCGCCTGCTGCAAGTCTGGCCACGCCACCATTACCTGGACCACTGCCAGAACCTTCCTCCTGGTCTCCACTTCTACTTCTTATCCGTCCTCCACAGACAGCCTCTTATGTGTGACCCAGGTCACACCCGTCCTTGAAACCCTCCAAATGGCGTTCCATTCCCTCCGAATGAAATACAGATTGCTTCCCACATGGCAGGCCCCGGGCTGTCTGTCGCCCTTACCTCCCCTCGTCTCACGTATCCAACATGTCCCTGCCACGCTTTTCGCTCTGGCCCTCAGCCTCCGTTTCGGTCTGTGCTTTCTGCTCAGGAGAGGTTTCCCCCCACCCTTTCCTCAGCTGGGATTTAACTCGGATGATGTCTTCCCTCATAAATGCCTTCCCACACCCCCCAGAGATAAAGTGCCCTATTTTCTCTCTTCCTTAGCATTTAACAAGCTACCTTATTTATCTGTGTGTATGTTCGTTGTTTGCTTCCCTCACTGGAATAGCAACCCCATAAGGGCAAGAACCCTGCCTTGTTTGCTATTATATCCCAGGGCCTAGAACAGTAAATATTGATTGATGGCAGACTAAGATATTAATGACTGAATACGATAACCCTTCCAGTAAAGGTCTAGAGCTATCTAGCATGTTGGTCCGGAAAGAGCTAGAGCTTTGGAATCTAGGTAACTGTGGGGCTGGCCCTTCCTAACTTGAATAGCAACTCTGGACAGTTTCTTCTACTAGCAGAGGTGTTGTGAGCGTGACAGGAAATGTGTCAAGTGCTCTTAAGGACAGTGCTTCCCACACAGCAGGTGTCCTAAGTATGTAGGCGGGTCAAATGGGCCCATCTGGTTCCCGGTCCAGTGCCGTTTGCATCATCCAAGGATGGTAATGGCTGGACACTGGGGTGAACTGAAGTGTCAGGGATATAAGGTAAGCGTGTAAAGGAAGACTCTGGAACCACTGTGGCATCCCAGAGAGACTTGTCTGTTGATCCCTTTGAAGTGATGGTTTAAGTATGGTCCTGTTGGAAGAGTGCAGATCCCTTAAATGACCGGGTTAAGATCCCCTGTGGATCTAGAAGTGCAAAGAAGCAAGCACACCTTATATTTTCCAGGCTCTGGGTGTCTGGCCTGTTTCTGGTGAGCAAGAGAACCTTCCGTTTAGCCAAGAGCAGGGGTTCCTCAGCCCCCGGGCAGAGCCCCCTCATTGCTTCTCCTCCCAAGCTACAGATGAAGAGGCCTCCCTTGGTGCCTTGTTTCCCTAATCCAAGGCCCAGACACTGTCAGATACTTAGACCCTGGGCCAAGGTGGAGGATGGAGAAACAGGGGCAGAGCCAGGGAGGTGGGCAGAGCCCAATTCGGACCTGTACACAAAGGTCCCACTATGTGGATCGTAGGCAGCATGCAAATCATATTTACTCAACATGGCAACAGCTTGGGGGAAGTTCCTTGCCGTCCAGACACAGGGGCTCCTCAGTTCTCAGAAGAAAGTCCCATAGAAATGGAAAGTAAACACCAGAGGTGGTTGTTTTTTTTCTGGCCTAGGCAAAGTCAGACAGGAACCACAGAAATGGTTTCCAAGCTGGCTGGCAGAGCCGGGCTAGAATGGTAGCAGGGAGGGCTTGGTAAGCAAGATCTGGGCCCAGGAAAATGGAATGAAGACCGACAGTCCGAGGAAATGAGTGTCATCTAAAGCAAGACACAAAGGGACAGGAGTCCAGAAAACAGATTTAAGACCTAGAGATTGGCCCAAGAAGAAAGGATGAGCTGAGGTCTAAGCAGTGGTTAAGACTCAGTGTGGATGCAGGCCAGGGTGGTCCCGTGACCGACACGGTCCAGAGTGTGTCAGTGACCCTGGGAACAGGTACCCAGGCCCTGAGGCTGCAGGCTGGGTTGGATGTGGGGAGGAGAAAGACAGCACCCTTCAACAAGACTTTCTACGTTCCAGGCTCTGCGTTAAATACTTTATGGACATTTTAGGGACAGAAAAAGAACGCTTAATCCCGGGGAGGCTGAGGGGTCCCAGGAAAGTCTGAGACGAGGCAAGGGCCCTCAGTCCAGGCGAGAGCATGGCCTTACCAAACCAGCCCCAGCGCCAAGACAGAAAGCTAGTGAAGTTGCTCACTAACCTGGACCTGAGGTGGTGTGCCATTGGACCCCTGGAGGAGGTTAGTAGTTGTACCTGCCAGAGTCGCAAGGGAGAAATCCAGGCAGGACCTCAGAACAGCTGGGCCACTGGCTTCTGTCCACCTCCAAGGCCATGCTTCTTCCGTTGTACCTGTGCAAACCAGTGGCTAATAATAATTTCACTCTTTGTATAGCACTTTAGTTTTCAAAACACCGTCACAAATTATACTACTTAACTAATATCCTTTACTGGGTTATCAGGTGTTAGAGTAAAATGTTGCATAGATTATTGTTTGGCTTCCTCCTGTGTGACTCTGGCTAAGTTACTCGCCCTTTCTGGGCTTCAGTGGGCTAGCTAGGAGAAGGCAGTCTTCTACAACTGAGAATAAGAGACTGTGATGGGCATTGAGGAGGGCACCTGTTGGGATGAGCACTGGGTGTTGTATGGAAACCAAATTGACAATAAATTATATCTAATATTTAAAAAAGAGAGAAAGAATCTGACGAGGGGCGGGTGGTGAGTGGATGTTAACAGTTTCAACCAGCTCTGGAGTCCTTAGACGTTCTAAAGAAAAGTCATTCATTGGGCTCCAGGAAAACAAACTCGGGTGTATTAAAATCTTTCCTTCAACCCAGCTTTTAAGCCCTAAATGCTTCCAGAAGCCTCATAGATCTCTCACTTCTGAGCCCCTGGCCAAGCCCAGTTTCCAGACAGGGAAGTTAGGGAGGAGTTTTTGATTCCTGTACAGCTCTATTTTTATCTGGAATGTATCTTCCTGCACACCAGTGATTGGGTGCCTTCGAAGCTGAGGTAAAGTACGTTGTCAGCAGGACCCCGAGCAATAAATAGCAACGGACAGAGAGACTGATCTGTTACGTGGGCAGGAAGTTAGACAGATGGACAAACTGATCGGCCTGGCGTCTTTGCCAAGAGCGGCCCAAGTAATCACACTGCGCCCGAAGCCTCTCCGTTGTTCCCAAAGGATGAGCCGTTCCCCTCTGACAACCCCTATCGTGGCAAGCGTGGAAGGCAGACAGGTGTGAGTCGTGTGGCTCTGCCCAGCGGGCCCCTCCCGGAGTGGGCATCAGATTCCCCTGCTTTTCCCCAGCATTACGGAGAACCTGGCATCTTGAATAGAGGTGAATCCTTTCACATCTTTATGCGAAGTCAGCATCGGGTGTTTAGGCTGGAATGGGGTTGACCTTGAATCACAGCCGGAAGCAGTAAAGACGGACTGGTCTTTCCTCCCGAACAGCCTGTTCTCAGATCTGAAGGGCCGTGGTCCCAGCAGTTCTTGCCCGTCTCTGAACAAAGCCTGCCTCACAGAGTTCTGCCCCATCTACTTAACTGCACCTTTCCTTGGTGGGCTCCGGGTTTGCCCTGCCCCAAGCCGGCAGCGTCTGGCACAACCAGACACATTTACTGCGACACCCCTATGGAAACACACCAAGGCAGAAAAAAGGAGGGCCTAAGAAGTGTGTGTGTGTGCGCGCGCATGTGCAGTGCATGCGCCCCGTGGGCACGCATGCGTATTGGCGCGCGCATGCGTGCGTGCGTATGTACGGGCTTTTGGCGCGCGCATGCGTGCATGTGTGTGTTTGTGTGTCGTGGGGCGCCGGAAGCCGGGGGAGCATGCCTTGTGTTTGGGAAGTATGCGCCCCGTGGCGACGTGGACTTTTTGGGCCAGCTGCCGCTCAGATCCTCCCAGTCTCAGGCCACCCGTGAGGAGGGGAAGAGGTAGGGCGCGTTTGCAGCCGTGTGAGAAATGCCGTCAACGTGGTCACAAAACACAGAAGCCTCATGTCTCGAGAAGGGACGTTTAAAAAATTACTATGGGGGCCACATGCGAGGCGGCAGAAGCGAGGCGGCCCTTTACAGCACTCGCTGACTCACCGAGTGTGTCGTGTCGCGGTGACAAGTGGCACGTGGGGGTGAACGGTGTCTGGGGTGCGTGCGTCTTGGCCTCCTGGGGGAGCCTGGAGGCACTGGAGGGAGGGACGGCTGCAGGGAAGCAGTGGTCTTTGTTGGTGGCAGGACAGAGGCACAGGCACGCTCGTAGCCAACGTGGAGAAGCCCATCGCCCAGGTGGTTCCTCCAGCAAAAAGAACAGGAGGGAAAGCGATGAGTTTCTGGGGAGACAGAAACGCACCGTGTCAAGTACCTGACCTGAATCATCACAGGGGCTCTTGGAAGGACCCCGTTGCTGTAGGAATTTAAACAAATCTTCCAAAGCGCTTACGGGTGTGCCAGGCCTGGTCCCAGCCCTTCAGACAGATAGTAAATCATTTAATCCGCAGACCCTGCGAGTGATGTGCTACTATTATCCCCGTCAGGGCACAGAAAGGTAAAGGCGTTCATCCAGGTCACTGAGCTAGTGGGAGACAGAGCCACCCAGGAGTTGAATCCAGGGGGTCTGGCCGTGCTACCTGCTTCTCCTGTCATTTATTTATTAATTCAACAAATACGTACTGGATGCTTCTTTGTCCAAGGCATTCAGTTAAGGAGGGAAGACAAGACATATACACGTGCTAAAAGTTGAATAAAGGGCATTTGCTTACCCCGTTTCATACACTTGAAGCCTTGCTTGCCAATGCATCTTGCCAGCCCCCATTTCTGAAAGCCTCTTCTGACCAAAGGAAGGCGACTCCTGTCATCTCCTCTCCACATGCCCCTTTTCAGTCTAGGTCTTTGCAGCATGAGGAGCACAGGGCTTACGCTGCTTCCCAGACCCCTGGGTTCCCCTTCGGGACGGGACCCAGAGCCACAGCCAGGGCCGAGCACACCCTAAATATTCACGACACGTGGTTGACTGGATGATTTAAAAAAGGTTTTTTTAATGTTTATTTATTTTTGAGAGAGACAGAGACAGGGTGCGAGTGGGTTAGGAGCAGAGAGAGAGGGAGACACAGAATCCGAAGCAGGCTCCAGGCTCCAGGCTCCGAGCTGTCAGCACAGAGTCCGATGAGGGGCTCGAACTCACGAGCTGTGAGATCATGACCTGAGCCGAAGTTGGACACTCAACCGACTGAGCCACCCAGGCACCCCGACTGGATGATTTTTAAAATCCTTGGATGCAGGGGTCAGTTGCAAGATGCTGTTAAAATACCTCATTGTCACAGCTTCTCTGCTTACGGTCACGAAACAAGGGCCGTGTGTGGCACCCAGTAACAACACTGAGAAGAGCTGAGGGTAGATTTGCTGGTTAACTTTTGCTTTCCCTTGGTTTGCCAGGAAAGACCGGCAGAGACCAGTGCCAACGTGGATGACTCGGCACCCCCCTCGGTGGCCCAGCTGGCTGGGCGGTTTAGGGAGCAGGCAGCCGCTGCAAAGGAGGTGAGTCAGGCGTCTTCCGAGCCCCTCTTCTGGAAGGGGGCTGGAGGAAGGGGAAGTCTGGGTCAGGCCCAGAGGAGAGGGAGGGAGGAGGCTTGGTAATTACCAAATTAGGAAGAGAAGCCAGAGAGGGGTCCCTCTGAATGTGAGGAATGTGGCCATGCTGCTGGCCTGTGCAGGATCTTTCCTCACCAGAGTGAGGCTTACACTGTGGCCCGGAGCGAGGAGACAAAGGGCAGAGAGCTGGAAAGATGGATGCCTGGATTCATTTCCATCTCGATCATCCACTATGGGAGACTTAGATCTCGCCCAGCTGTGCCAGGCCTAGACTGGTTCAGAATAAAGAAATGCCCATCCTCAGCCCTGCCCCAGGGTCCAGGAATCAGGAGCAAGGCAAGAGGGGGACAGATTCTGAATTGAGAGTTGAAGAGGAAGAGAAGAGTTACAGGAACGTGCATTCAGATAGGAAGCCAGGGCTCCAGAAGGACAGGGATCCAATGATCAGTGGGCCCCAGAGGTATCCTGCTGGAGAGGACAGAGTAAAAGGGGGAGATTTGGGCTACATTTTCTGGAGTCACGCAGTCTGAAGAGCTCCTTAGGAGAACATGAAGGAAGGGCACCCCAAAATTGGGGGGTGGCCCCTTGGGACAAAGGCGTTGCTATCATGCTTTTTTAGGTACAGTGTTTTGTGCTTTTGTTTTGCCATCTGAAAAATCACTCCTTGATTTCTAGACATTGTAGGAATGTCATAAAGGGTGAAGAAGCTAGTGTTGGTCTAGGGTACTGGCAGCGCCTGGAGGCTAGAAGCAGATACCGGTTTGAGACGTTGTTTCAGGCCAGCGAATGTCAAGTAAGGCTCCAGCAGCAGCAGCAGGACTGGGACGGGAGCCTGGGAGTCAGAGGGGTGGACGGGCGGAGAGAGTTCCTGTATATGGCTAGTGGCAGGCAAGCCTTCCTACATCTTTTCTCCTCCAGACATCCCTGAACATTCCTCAACCAGCTTCCACTTCCTCCTCTTCCTCCCTGTTGCCTGATTACCTCTCTCTCTTTTTCTTTCTGTGTGTCTGTCTGTCCCCCTCCCTCCAGACACCAGCCTGTAAGCCAACAAGAAGGAAACCACCCTGCTCTCTCCCCCTGTTCCCCCCCAAGGTAGAGCTGGGCCAGAACGGTGAGGAGGTAAGTGCCGTTCCAGGACTCAGGGGACACCGGTTATGAGTCTGCCTTCTCCTTCTGACGGGAGGGGGCACAGGAGGCACACATTCAGACCTTGAAACCTGTGCAGGGAGTTTCTCCCTCTCAGATTGGGGGATGCATCTCCTCTTACTGCTTCTAGAATTCTTTACTTTGGAGACCGGGTTCCTTCCTACTCTCTCTAACGGAGCCTCCTTCAGGGTCTGTCAAGGACAGGAACACTGTTTCTCAAGACTGAGAATTTCAACAAAGAGAATGTGCTGTAGAGTATTATGTTCTACTCCAGGTCCGGTTTATATGACATTCCTTGTGGAAAAGACACCTGGAAAGAGACGCAGCACTTACATAAGGCAGAATTGCCACATGAGCGAATGCCGTGGTTCCGTGCTATCCTTGCAAAGACTGGCTATTGTTCTGGATCATTGGAAGAAAATCAGAGCGCACGGAAGCCTCGTTGCCCTCACATATAAATAGCCAATGTTACCAACACAAGGAAGGTGCTGGCATCACAGATCATAGCCGGCAGTAGATTCCCAAACTGCATATGTACCGACCCTTATTTATCTAATTGTAGCTGTAGGAGTGACTTCTCCGTCCCCCATCCCAGCAGCCCATGAACTTTCACTGTGCTCCCGTCACACTCCCGCAGAAGTGAACTCACGTGTTCTCTCGTCCAGCCTGGGAAGCCAGCCTCTAGAGAAAGCAAGCAAGCCAAAGACGGTTCAATTCACAAATCCCGCTTCAACTACCTCCCTCCCCCTTCCTTTCTGAGGACCAGCAGCCTGACAATAGACATTAGATACCCGTGTGACCTTGAGCACGTATGTAACGAACACGAGGAGGAGAGCAGCCTTTCCCACCCAAGACTTACAGGCCAGAGCCCACCAGAGAAAGCGGAAACGCACAGCTGCCCCTGATCCAGTGGGGTGGGGGCGTCTAGAGCCCCACTGCTCAGAGATCGCTGCCCCACACACCGAACGGCAGCCTTCTTCTGGAATGGGAACCCCGAGAACCACGGTTTTTAAAAACTGAGTCTTTTCTGTTGGCATTTCTTCAAGCGCTGACTTGATGGTTGTGTGGTATCATGGGGTCATTAGCTCGTGCTATGGCCGGATGCATACCGACAACTTCTCTTTACCAAGGGTCAGCTTCTCCTTGTGACTTTCAGCCCCTGGCCAACAGGCTGAGGCCTTGGCCATCAGGAGCCTCCTGTGAGGCTACCCCCTGATGACCCAGAGTTGGCCCTGGAGAAGCCACCATACTGCACTGAGCCTTCTTCCTTATTTGTGAAGTAAGACAGGAACACTAACCAGACAGATGATGGGGGCCAGATGGGGGTGTTTTATTCTCTGGAATAAAAGCAGAATGAGTCAGGTTAGTTTCCCGGCTCTGGGAGAAATAAACCTACAGGCTCATCCCATGAGGTATCGCCCAGCGGTTAAATAGCATAGAAGGGCCAAGGGCTGGATGAGTAGGTGAGTGGATGTCAGAGGAAACAGTCCTGCCTGGAGTGACCGGCTGCTTGCACATAAGAAGGACATCGCTTCCAGGATCGATGACTTTTTGTCACCTTGAAAATCACACAGAAATAAAAAGAACAACCAGCTTTGTGTGGCTGGGCTGGACGGAGTCTGCGGCCTGCAGTTCTCCACTTTACGTTCCCACGGCGTGGCCTTGGGGAACCTCAGGGGGGCCTGAAGGGAGGGCCCCAGTCGGGCTGCCGCTCAGTCCCCGAGGCACAGTGCAGGGAAGGGTCTCTCCATCCCTTCATTCCCGCCCCCTCCCTATGCCTGCTCAGGCCTGAGACCGTGGGGTGACCAGGAGTTACTCCTCTCTGGAGAACCCAGCCAAAAGGGCATTTAATACGGCCATAAACCTTGCCTTGTCTGCCGGAGAAGGGCCGAAAAACACTCCCATCTGAAAAGTCAGGTTCATGATTTCTAGACATTATAGGAACATCATGGGCAGATATGAATATACACACATAGAGCTTGAGGCTGGTTTTTCTCCTTCGGTGGTCTTAGGCCCAGCCACCTGCTTGGAGTCCCGTGTTAAATGGCAAAGGAAATGCTGCCACCTGCTGCCGTTCCTAGGCACTGCACTAGCAGCTATTTTGGAGTCCTCCTGCTTTGCTGTTCAATTCCAAGCAATAAGGATCTTGGGGAGCATGAGCTAGGTTCCCCACACTATCTTATAGCGAAGGCGCTGCGTTTATTGAATTTTCACTCTCTTCAGAAGATAGTGGTCAGGGGGCGCCTGGATGGCTCAGTTGGTTAAGCATCCAACTCTTGATCTCAGCTCAGGTCTTGATCTTGGGATGGTGGATTCAGGCTCCACGTTGGGCTCCGTGCTGGGCGTGAAGCCTACTTAAAAGTATATATATGAGGGCACCTGGGTGGCTCAGTTGGTTGACCATCTGACTTCAGCTCGGGTCATGATCTTGCGGTTTGTGGGTTCGAGCCCCGCGTCGGGTTCTGTGCTGACAGCTCGGAGCCTGGAGCCTGCTTTGGATTCTGTGTCTCCTTCTGTCTCTGCCCCTCCCCCACTGGTGCTCTATCTCTCTCTGTCTTTCAACGATAAATAAATTATATATATATATATATATATATGGATGTATATATACGCACACACACATACACATATGTGTATATATATATGTATATACATATAGTGGTCAGTTGAGGAAGAGAAGGGTTTCTGGTATTACAAAAAGCAAAGTTTGTAAGCAAAATTGTTGCTGCACTTCCTTAAACAGTATCTTTAGAAATAGTGGCTCATGTGAAATTTCACCATAGAGCACAGAAGTCAACTGATTTGGGGCTGGCAGCTCTTTGTACTTGTCACCAACACAAGGCGCCTTGAAAACTGCTCTAGGAGTATGTCTGACAGTGTAAACTCATGGAGCCAGAGGCACCTTCGAGCTGGAGGCGTTCTGAGAGTCCTTTATTCTAACCCACCTGCCTGGGTGTTGGTGGAGGAGGCTGAGGCCGGGGCACCCGTCCGGCTCCTGTCAGAGCCAGAGTCCCAGCTGGTAACTGTCCCACTCCAGTGCCTCTTCCTCAATGTTGGGCCTTAAAAGGGTCACAAGGAGTTGAACTGAGTAAATCTTCCTCCTTCCGTCACTAAAATACAGTCATCTCACTTTCAATAAGTATCTCAGAATGTTTCCAGGAGATTGGTGTTCTTCTTTCTGTGATTCAGCTAAATGAGTCCACGGGGGCTGGGGCAGGTAATGTATGTGGGGTCTCTAAACTGTAGAAAAATCCCTTTTGTGCCTTGGCCTCTGCTCAACAACATGGAAGTCACCACCATCTTCTTCTTCACCATCATCATCATCAGTGTCCTCATATACCTGTAGAACCAGACTCAAGTTGCAGGGATTTTAGACAAAACAAGACGGGGTCCATCTTTTTAGATACAATAAAATACAGACAAGGTTCCTGACCTACATTCATCACAAACATATCTCCAACTAGCAGAACATAATGTATGGTTTTGTTTTTTATTTTTAAATTTCTTTCAACGTTTATTTTTGAGAGACCAAGAGAGTCAGAGCACAAGTGGGGGAGGGACAGAGAGGGAGGAAGACACAGAATCTGAAGCAGGCTCCAGGCTCTGAGCTGTCAGCACAGAGCCCGATGTGGGGCTCGAACCCACAAGCTATGAGATCATGACCTGAGCTGAAGTCGGACACTTAACCAGCTGAGTCACCAAGGTGCCTCCATATGTATGGTTTTATATGTATGTATCAGCCATTGATCGCTTCTAGAGGCCAGAGACCATATCGTGTTCATCGTCGTATAACCAGGCAAGACAATGCTGGGAATGTAGTAGATACTCGGTAAATGTCTGCTTAATCGAAATGAACGATGTTTTGGAAAATGATAATCTATAAATAACACTATTGGTGGTTTGGATTTTCCAAAATATCATTAGTTCAAGGGAGAAATTTCAGTTAAACCTCTGTAAGCTTTCACCTTTGGTCTGTGGTGTCTTCTGTTGTTTGTGCAAACAGAACAAATAGTCATTTTGCCCTTTCTCTCTGGAATTCCCTCCCGTCATTGGCTCATGTTGTTGAAGGTCAGGAGGTGAAGATCTCATCCCCTCGGACATAGTCTGTTGTCTCATAATGACCATGAAGTCATCCTTTCTGGAACAGGAGGCCGCCTGTGTTTCAGATGTCTGTCCAGCCTGCTCTGATTTCATAGATTCAAGTGGTCTTATACTTGGGAGACGAGGGAGGGGTGGTGGGGAGCCCACCCAGGCCCAGGCCCTGACCAGGTGGGTGGGCTGCTGAAAGCTAAGCGGGAAAGTGGTGAAATCAACTTCTCCTCTTCTTTCACCTGGGCCTTTGGGGCTCCAGCCAGAACCCCACCTCCCTTCACCTCACTGATTCCGTTGTTTTGGTCCATTTGCTCTGTAGAAATCACCGCCCAATGCAAGCCACCCTCCTAAAATCAAGGTGAAGAGTTCGCCTCTGATTGAGAAGCTTCAGGTAAGTGCACAGTGGTTACCCATTGCTATTTCTGACGCCACCCCACCTCTTGTGCAACATGTGCACGTCTTTGGGGCTCCTGGGGATAGCACCATCTGTCACCTGAAGAGTTGATCTCTGATAACCAGCTGTGAAGGATGAGGAGCCCTATCTAGGGGCAAAGAGCTAAAATAAACATCATGTCAAGCATGAGCTCATGAAGTTAACAGATCATGGTGGTTGGCGGATAATGGGATGTCTCAAGAATCTTACAGGAAAAAGACATTAGAGCCCAAGAGACACTCCAGGACTAGCCAAGTCTTCCCAAGCAAGACCTGAATGCCCCCACAAACCGTTTCAGCTTTACACAGGGCTGAAATTCAACAGCTAGGCATTGCACTAACATGGCAGAATCTGTTGTTTGGAATGCCCGCCTCTCCGTCTATCAGCTTTTGAACCCAGAGCCCTCACCACTGCACCACAGCTGGCTGCCTTTCCTGGGGATGGAACTGACCGTGCGGCACTGTACTTGAGCTCGCAGCCTTTTGGGGGAGACGGGATTTTCACACGTAGTACAATAAGAGACTTAAAGGAGAGGAAACCCCAGAGGTCTAAATGGTGTGCTTCCCGTGTGTCAGTTCTTACTCCTCTAAATCAGAGTTCCTCAACCTGGGCCGTGTTCGCGCAGGCGGGGCACTGCCCTGTGCATCGCAAGATGTTTAGCAGCATCCCTGGTCCCTACTCACTCAATGCCGGTAGCACTCTCCAAAAGTTGTGACAATGAAAGACGTCTTTGGGCATCTCCCGGGAACACAGTTGCCCCCCACCGTCGCCCCAGGTGAGAGCCGTGCTCTAGAATTTTAGAGCAAGAAGAGAAGAGTGGGCAGGAGTAATTAATGAATGCTTCATGAAACACCTACACCCTGAGTCGGTCCTCAGGGATGGGTGGCTAGAAAGGAAGGAGGAAGGTGCCCCTGGTGTGGGACAGCGCGAGCCAAAGCGCAGAGGAGAGGGGCATGTCTGGATAGGGCGTGTGGAGGACGCAAGAGCTTTCACCACGGTTTCTGTGCTCCACCCAGGAGAACCGTAAGGCTCCTGTGCACCGTATCTTCCCATCTGGGCCCGACTAGGAAAACCTAGTCAGAAATCACTGTTAGAGGCGTGCCGAGACAAGTAGCTGCCGCTTCTACGGTTCCACCTCTGGGAGAGCCCGGGCCTGATTTCTGGTCAAGAAAAGCCTCTCTGGTTTCTGGCCTGAGCCCGCCCTGTGGCCGGTGGGAGGGGACTCCCTGAAGCGTAACTCCTGCTGAAAAGGCCCGATGGCACCGCAGCAGCAGCAAGGAAGGAGCTTCTGCCTGTGCAAGGCTCCCGAGTACGTACGTAAGGAGGGTCTCTCAGAAAGGATCCTGATGCACAGCCAGCTGAGGGGTGTAGCCCAGGACCTGCACCTTCGCCTTCCTGCAGCCCACCTCAGCCCTCATCCGAGGGCCGGAAGTTAGTTCCCACATGCTCTGTGCCCCGCAGTCTCGGTCTCCTTCCCCTTTCCCGTCAGTGAGGAGCGTCTCTGGGAAGCTCAGCCACTGAGAAGAAGGTTGTGATCACTGATCCTTCAATCTCATTAAGAACATCAGCAACAAGGAGCGCCTGGGTGGCTCAGTCGGTTAAGCGTCAGACTCCATCTCAGCTCAGGTCTTGATCTCAGGGTCGTGAGTTCTGGAGTCTGCTTTTAAAAAAAAGAACAGAATGACAATTTGGCCAGATGCCATAGGAGCCCTTACTTTGTTGGGAAGGGGGGGGTGGCCAAGAACTAAGAAATGCATCATCAGCTAGACTTTCCTTCTAAATACTCTATTAGATGAGTTATGAGGTATGGTTTTTCTTCACTGGACTAGCCCATAATTCCAAGTTCAAGTTTCCTGCTGGCTAGCAAAATATATTTTATTTGCAGGCAGTCTTACAGAGGGAGCTTTCCAGCTTGAAGTTGGGTGGGGAGGGAGACCTCTTAACTCCCAACCCAAGTGTCCACTGCCCTGAAGCCGTCACAGGCACTCACCATGTGCTGCTTTTTGCCATGGTTTGGGCTCACAGCGTTGCTATGCAACCTTCACGTTCTTAATTCTTACCGTGACTGAGTTTTGTCCATATTCTAAGGCCTTTTTTTTTTTTAAGTATATTTATTTACTTGAGAGAACAAGTCAGGAAGGGGCAGAGGGAGAGAGAATCCCCAGCAGGCTCAGTGCTGCCAGCTCAGAGCCCAGTGCGGGGCTCAAACTCATGAACTAAGAGATCATGACCTGAGTGGAAATCAAGAGTCCAATGCTTAACCGACAGCCATCCAGGCGCCCCTGCTGTAAGGTCTTTCTTAATATCACAGAGATACTAGTACTTTCCTAAACAAGAATAACAGTGTAGAGTCTGCAGGTCCAAAAGCACACAGTTCTCCTGGACAGCAGAGCCTTGGCTGGAAGAAGGGGGCACTGAGAGGGCTCTGGAGGGAGAGGGGGGAGTGTGGAGTATGAGTGGGTGATGGCAGGAGTGAGTGCCAGGGACCAGATCATGAAGGACTCAGGCGGTCATGCTAACCGGTCTGGACAAATACAGTTCAAGACTCAGGCTATTTATTGGACTCACTGGAGGTCACACAGCTATTAAGTGAAACATCTGAGCTTTGCAGTCAGGTCTGTCTGTGTGGAGAGCCCCTGTACTTCCCACTGCATCATCTGCCCGTCACACCATCCCTTCCGGGCGAGTCCTCCCTGCTGGGCCAGGATCTGGAGACCCAGAGGGCGCCGGAGCAGGAGGACTGCCCCTCGATGGCGCTAAAGAGGACCCAGTGCTCACTGCAATCCATCCCACAGGCCCTCCTGCACCACCACCTTCTCCACTGCCACAGGCTGGAGCTGGGACCACCTGCCTCGCCCGCCCCCCCCTCCCCCCCCCAGCTCTTGGCTCCCTCAGGCCTCTGTTACCTTTGGGTAACCTCTCCCCTCTGTTGCCCTCCGGATGCCCTTGAATTTGGTTTCACCTGCCCCGCCATGGCCCAGGTGGGGCACACACTGACGTCTGCTCCGCGGGCTCCCTCTTGGAAGGGCTGGGCAGCCTGCTGTGTCCACCACTCTTCTGGCCATCTACCAACAATGCATAAGAGACCAGCAGAGCTGGCTTGAATCCCAGGGCAGGCTCCTTCGCCACCTTCCTGATGTTCGCGATCAGAACAAAATGGAACACACAGGTCTGTTGTAGAGGGGAAGGTTTTGTATGCCAGCAAATAGGAGGCATCCGGTAGGCAGTGGCTACTATTGGCTCTGCTGAGAAAGTTGATAAAGGGCGTTGACTTGCTGCGAGATCGTGTGCCTGCAGGTGCTACTTTGGCCTCTTTGTGTATAAGTTGGAGCTGTTCCAGGGCATTTTTGTTGGATCCAAACTGGTACTTTCTGGGCCTTCTGGAATGCAGCCTGTGGTGAGCCAGGTAGCCAGAGATGTTTGAGGAGGCAGTGCTTCCAGGGGTCGGACGTGACGTGACTGGATAATTGGTTGGGAAGTAACCCAAAAAGCCTCATGTTACGTAGTCGCAACCAGTTCCAGGCCAGGCACCCAACAAGCTCACGCAGACATACCCATCTCCCACCCGTTTGAAACGTCTCACCTTTTCTCGGCAGGCCAACTTAGCTTTCGATCCAGCAGCCCTGCTGCCTGGCGCCTCACCCAAGAGTCCTGGACTCAAGGCCGCGGTGTCGCCATTCCAGAGCCCGCCGTCCACCCCCAGCAGCCCTGGTGTGCGGTGTCAAGCTGGCGAGCTGGAGGAGGTGCCGGTCAGCTTTGACCAGCCTCCGGAGGGCAGCCATCTGCCCTGCTACAATAAGGTAACCTCTGGGTCCGAAGCGCTGTGGCCCTGTCCGGTGCCAGTCCTGGATTTTCTCTGCCCTGATGTTGTCTCGGGGAAAGGAGGACGCTTTTGAGCTGCAGTCGGAGTTGGTTTCCAGCAGAGGGAAATTTCTTCTGTTGCCGGTGATCTGTGACTGAGATCACCCCTCTGCCTAGCCTGCCTCTCATCCCCTCTCCCAGTAGCTGTGCCGCTCGCCCAGAAAGCACAGTTGGGGGGTGGAATGCTCTATCCTTTGTGGAGAGAGGGGTGAGAATTCAGGACCGACCCCAGCTGCACAGAGAGTCGTGTCAAAAGCTGAAAATAAACGCTAAAGGCCCGATCGGTGATTGATGCAGAGGGTGGGCAGGGTCACTGGGACTCCAGAACACTCTGTTCTGGCTTGATGTTAATACTTCTAAGCGACCCAGTATGGGTTTAAATCATTCTTACTGCAGCCTGCCCGTTAAAGAACATCCAAACGGTTCCCTTTGCAAAAAGATGTACCTAGGGCCCATTTCTGTAGATGCTGCCCTGATGTGTGTGCTTCCTTTCATCAGATCCTCTGCCTGATGCCATACACAGTACGAATCAGAGATATTCTCCAATACAACCCGTGCAGGTGTCCAGCAAATCTGGGCCAGAGCCAGGCAAGGGCCGACATAAGGGGGGTGTGACTCCAGGGAATGGCAGATGGATGTAACTTTAAAGTTATAGATGGAAAGAGTGGGGTCTTTTGGGCCATTCCAGAAAACCCATCTAGGGGAAGAAAGTCACATGTGTAGAGACAGGTAGGACCCAGGGAAACAAACTGGCGCTAAGGCTTGAGTCTGCTGGCTGGGGATAGGTTGGAGATCCTCCAGCCCAGAGTGAGACCAGGGAGAGACCCCTGACGGCAGAGAGGAATCCAGGGGAGAGCCTCGTCTCTTCATAAGGTGCTCTCTGGGGAGGCTAGGGAGTCAGGGCAGGGAGGGAGGCACTGCCCCCGGGTTGTAATACTGGAGGCCTTAGCCTTCTGACAGCAGCAGAGTGAGGCAAGGTTATTCCTGAACCCTCTGATCATGAGGGCCGGGCGGAGCCTTGATAGCTTGTAGGGCTGGCAGCACCAGGGTCTCAGGAAAGGGCCTAGGAAGCCCTTTTAAACCAAGTATTGACTCCAAATTTCTGAGAAGGAACTAGAATTGACAAATAACCAAAATGTAAGCCAGTGGGAAAATCAGATTTGACGTTTATAAAAATAAGATTTCATCTACATATAAAGACTTAAGTAAGGACACATCACATGAATAAAGTAGGGCATCCAAATAAACATTTCCATTGAAGTTATGGCCAAGTCCAGTGGGCCTACGTGAGGCTTGAGTGATTCCCAGAGAGGAGAGGATCTTCAGGCAGCTCCGTTGGACGCTTCTAAGGCATGGCTTCTGCTCGCGGTGGACCTGGTTCCTGGAAAGCAAAGGCATCTAGCTGCTCAGCTTTCCTGGCATTAGCCAGTGCTGCAGAGGGCCAGGAGGGCCACGCTGGGGAAAGGGGTGAAGCTAGTCACCAGCTGTCCAGCGGTGTGCCCATGAGGTCCCAGAGCAAGGCCAGGCCAGCAGCAGGCCCTTAACCCTCTCCTCTGTTGGGTTCACCTTTGCCAAAGTATAATTTCCTGAATGCTGAAACGTGACTCTTATTCACAAGAGAGATAGATTTTATTCAGCTTGTCAATTTAGATGGTAAAGCTCATTCAGAGAACAAACAACTGGTTATTTATAGGCAATTGAAGAAACAGATGTTAGAATCCAATTGCTAAGTTAGACATGAAACTGATGACCGTTTCACAGGATAATAAAATTGGAGGTTATCCTTTTTAGTGGAGGGAAAGCATTTGCGTTTTCATGAGACAAAACCTATGGGTTACCATGTGCTTTCACGACCCCCCTGGGGCCCTAGCCAGTGATACATAGCACACAGGGTACATTCTCCTGGAAAATCAAATGATCCTTTGACAGCTGGCTGACAGAGCGGTGCTTTGGACGTTGAAGGAACATGCTGTCCTCCTCTTGGCCTTTTTTTACAGGCTTCGGATAATTCTTCTTCACCTGTTCTTCCAGGTGCGGACGAGGGGCTCGATAAAAAGGCGCCCTCCCTCCAGGCGATTCCGAAGGTCTCAGTCAGACTGTGGGGACCTGGGAGGTTTCAGGGCCCCCGAGTCATCCCAGGAGAATGGTGCCAAGGAAGAGAATGGGGATGAGGTGTTCCCATCCAAGAGCAAGGCCCCGGGGTCCCCGCCGCCCAGCGAGAAGCCGGTGGGGGAGCTGGGGTCCCTGGAGAAGCCTCCTCTGAGGAGGACGTCCAGCAGGACGGAGAAGCAGGAGGAGAAGGGCAGGGCCCCGGGGGAAGCCCAGCATCACCAGGAGGCTGTGGGGGGCTCTGAAGAGGAGGCCGGCACCCGTCCAGCCAAGGAGGAGGCCGTTCAACCAGCCCCGGCCTCCAACCCGGAGGCAGCGAACGGGTGCAGGAGCCCCACGGAAGAAAAACCAGCCGGGGAACAGACAGAAAAGTCTGCAGAGGTGAAGGAGGAGAGGGCAGAAAATGAAGAGGGTGAGCCCGGGCAGAGGAGCCAAGACACAAAGGGGCTGGCGGAGGGAGCAGCGGGGGAGGCCCCACCGAGCCCCCCTGGAGGAGTGGAGGGCGGCCACAGCTTTGAGCAGGGGAGAGGCGAGGAAAAGGACGAAGAGGGGGCCGTTCTGGAGCCAGGCTACAACCCCAGCGATGAGGCCCCCAAGACAGAGGTGAGTGGCCGGCGTGTTCCCCTGAGGAGGCAAGGCCGGGGCCAGTGCGTGCCTGCTCACGCTTCCTCGCAGATGAGCTCAAGTGTGCAGAAACACAGGCACTGGGTTGAGGCAAGTTGTGGCAAATGTGAGGGGACAGAGGGACAAGAAAGGAGGCCCGTGCTGTCTCCACCTTCCTGCCCATTCGGAGGTCTGTTGTGCTGTGGGTGTGTGTGGAGACCGAGGTGACTGAGTCAGGGCCCTGGGCCCAGCTCCCTGCCGGAGGGGCTCAGAGATGAAGGGGGCGCACCTTCCCCATCAACTCGGCTAGTGTGGGGGACCAGCAGCTCCTTAGGGCACTCTGAAGAAGGAGGAATGTGGCAGTGGGCAGGGAGTTGTCTCGGGGAAGCTCGAAGCACAGGCAAAGGAGAAAGTGTGTGTGTGTTTAGATCATCTACTCATGGCTAAAATTACTCGCCTCCTGTATTCAATACCTAGGGCTGCCATAACAAATCCCACAGACTTGGGAACTTAAAACCATAGAAATTTTATTTTCTCACAATTCTGGAGGCGTGGGCAGTGTTGGTTCCCTCTGGAGGCTCGGAGGGAAAGTCTGTCCTGAGCCGGTTCCCTAACCTCTGATGGCCGCTGGCACCCCCGGCCCCTCCTTGCTTCTCCCAGCATCTGGCAGCCGTCAGCAATCCTCGGCATTCCCTGGCTTAGGGACCCGTCGCTCTAATCTCTGCGTCTGTCTTCATGGGGTCTTTCCCTGGCTCTATGCATCCCCAGCCCCCCTCCTTTCTCTCAGAAGGACACCAGGCATTGGATGTAGGACCCACCCTAAATCCAGAATCATTTTGAGGTCTTTAGTTACATCTGCAAAGATCCCAGTTTCAAGTAAGTCCACATTCACAGGTACTGGGGGCTAGGATTGGACGTATCTCTGGGTGTGCATCCCACTACGCCTCCCCATCCCCTGTCCCACGATATCCCAGTGCACTCAAAGTAAATCCAAACCCTTTGTGAGGCCCTGCTGCTCTCAGGTGCCCCTGATCCTTCCCCTCACTGTGCTTTAGCCACATCAGTGGTCATTTGGTTCTTCAACTATACCAAGCTCACTCCCTGCTCAGAGCTCTGTCCCGGTTGTCCCCCACTTGGGACGCTTCGGATGTCCCTCGGGCCTGTCTTGACCACTCGGCTACTCTCATCCACTGTTCCACTTTGCCATCACGGTGTGTATCGCTATTTGACACGCTCTTACTTATTTTCTTATCATCTCTCTCTACTTTTTCCCCGTCACCGATCCCTAGCATTTGCCACTAAACCCAGAACATTGTAGTTCTTAAAAAGTATATTTGTTGAGTGAATGAACGAATTTTTAAAAAGGAGAAAACTGCTTGACCCAAAAGAAATAATCTCTAATGATAGAACTAGACATATCAGAGGGGTTGATGTGTTTGGGGGCAGGGGAACTCACCGGGGACCCTCACGTTATTCCCACCCAAGAGAGAAGGTGTGAGTCCCAAAGACTCTTGAGGTATGACCAAGACCCCTCTGGCTGGGCTGTTAGATAAAGATGCTTCACGTTTCTTTAACACCGTCCATTATAAACGCATGATCTGATCCTGTCACCTGGAGACCTCCACCAGGTGTCCAGAATGCAAACACGTGCCTCGGATATGGACTTTTTTTTTTTTAATGTTTGTTTATTTTTGAGAGAGAGTGTGTGTAAGCAGGTTGAAGGGCAGAGAGAAAGGGACAGAGGATCCAAAGCAGGCTCCGCACTGACAGCAGAGAGCCCGATGCGGGGCTCGAACTCACGAACCGTGTGATCACGAACTAAGCCAAAGTCGGACACCCAGCCGACTGAGCCACCTCGGTGCCCCTCAGATCCTCACTTCTTTTTGACACTGAAGCCACTGAGTCCACGTGGCCACCTGCCAGTGGCTGCTGCCTCTTATTTTCAGGCTAGGAGGCGCCTGTCTTCCCAGGAGAGCTTCCCATCTCACTGGCAGCATCTTCTAGTCTCGAAGGGTTAGGAAGTCACCCTGGTGGAAGAGCTTCAGGGAGGTCTCAGGTAGAGAAGGCTTCCTGCAGAAGCTCTGGGAGCTTTGGGACAGGCTCACCTGGACCTCTCGGGTCACTTGTATCTGACAGCCCTGGGGAGGGAGCTGGGTGCCCGCACCCTCACGAGCGCTCTGCTTCCAAACCCAAGCCCGGGTCCCAAAGAGTAGCTCCCCACCCCCCACCTCTCTGTCCTTCTCCCCCTCCTGACCTGTCACGGGGGCACAACACTTTGGCACCCTTCCTCCAACCCCCTGGTTTTCGAGAGGAAGGAGCTGAAGCTCCAGGAGGGGACATGACCTTGTCCAAGGTCACAGAGCTCAGTGTTGACGTGACGGACACGGGCTCTAGTCATCAGAGTGAGCTACATCACACCGCATCTCTGCACATCCGCGGATTCCTTTATCCCGGGAGGCGTGTCGACTCCCATCCTCTTTGTCCCTGTCAATAATGATGACAGATAAAGAGATGAACAAAGACAAGACGGGAATAAACGTCATTCTTCCCAGGGACGGCAGCCCTATGTGAGGCACAGAGGACGGAGCGACTCCTTCAAGAGAGAGCAGGGGAAGGCCGCCTCAGTAGGCCCGAGGCATCGGCGCTGTGGAGGGTTAACCGCCTGTGACCCAGCCCCTCACAAGTATTTTAACATTTGGTGCTTAAAGAATGAGCCATTCTGGGAACTCCAGTCCTGGAACAGGCTGGCTATATCAAATCACAACACGGGCTTCTGTTTACAGGCAAAGCGCCCCCGGAAAGAGGGCACCGAGTAAGATCCGGCTCCCACATTGTAAATAAACTGAACAAGTGGTTCTCAGATGCTTGTTACGTACCCAGTACCATGCAGGGCGCTCAGGTGATGCCAGAGATAAACTTACCCCAAGGACGACACTCAGGATGTTTGACATCACATTCAAGACTTCGTAGGACGGACAAGTGCTGGCTTCCTCGCTGCCTGGTTCCACTGCTTTTCCCGGGCATTCTCCTTGATCTCTCAGGATTTGATTCGAAATTCCTTTCTCCCTCAGCTGATGAGATACCACCTTCTCCTGGGCCTCCCCTGCCTTTAGAACTCTGTTTACTTTTCCCTCCTGGTTAAGTGGGCAGGTCTCCGAGCCTCAGTTCTTGACCTGTCTCTCCTCACTTGGGAACACACTCCTGTGCTTTCCCTCTTCAGCCCCTCCCTTAGCACCTGTCCTACACTGAGAACTCGGGGGGGTCACAGGGACCAGGTCCATGGCTGTGCTATCCTGCACCTTCATTGCCCTCATTTATTTTGTTTTATTTTATGTTATTATTTTTTATTTTATTAAAAAAAAAATTTTTTTAACGTTTATTTATTTTTGAGACAGAGAGAGACAGAGCATGAACAGGGGAGGGGCAGAGAGAGAGGGAGACACAGAATCTGAAACCGGCTCCAGGCTCCTGAGCGGTCAGCACAGAGCCCGACGCGGGGCTCGAACTCATGGACTGTGAGATCATGACCTGAGCTGAAGTTAGACGCTTAACTGACAGAGCCACCCAGGCGCCCCAATTATTTTTTATTTTAGAGAGAGACAGTGCATGTGGGTGGGGGAGAGGGGTAGAAGGAAAGAATCATAAGCAAGCTCCTTACCAGGGCTCAATCCCACAACCCTGGGGTCATGACCTGAGCCGAAATCAGGAGTCGGACGCTCAACGGACTGAGCCACCCGGGTGCCCCCTTCATTGCCCTCTTCCCATTGACCTCCTCTCTATTAATCTGCAAAGCTAAGCCACCATCGCGCCACCTTCTTTGCCGAGACTCGTGCATGTCACTGTGCAATTCACACGGCCATGCTGCCTGGATCTATTAGGAACTCTTACCAACTGGGCTGAGCCAGTCTTCACCCACATTCCTCAGTTACTCCTCCCCCAGCCCCTCCCGCTCTGCAAACGACCTCACCTCCTAGGTGACTGAAAGGAAGAGCAGCCGGGGCGCTGCCTGCCTCAGACCCTCAGCGTGTGAATCCGAGAACAGGTCCCTACTTGCTCAGACGAACCCCCATCTGCTGTGATCTGGCTTCCCCCAAATGCCAGTTGGTGGACATTTTTACAGGACGCTTGTAGAGTGTGTCTGTGCATTTTAAGTGAGGGGTGACACTGGGGATTTCATCCATCCATGTATTCTTCCGCGTTTCTAGCCCCTCACTAGCTCACTGCCTTCTGCCTACAGACATGCTCTGATCTGCCCAGTCCTAAAGAAATAGCCCCCAAGTCTGCCCCTTCCCTATCGCTCTGTCTCCCTCTCATTTGCTTCCCCTTGTGATCTCGCTCCGAACTAAGAATTGAAGCTCTAAGTGCCACCAAAGACTGGTCATCCTCACCTCTGCCAAGGGGCTGATGCTGCCAACCTGCCCCGGAAGCCACCTCCCTCCCACCAGTGTCCGTCAGCGCTGGGCCACCCAGCCAGCCTCCCTCCCTCCCCCTCCTAAAGAAGAGCTGCCACATTCTGTCCTCAGCCCCGGCTCCCACACTCTAGCTGTTGTGTTTTGTGACTGACCCCTAAGGTTGGACCTCACCACCAGCCACTGGGCCGCTCCTGACTGCTTAGCACCAGCCTGGACTGTGTCCCAACCCCACACGGACAGGGCACTGTGCTCGGATGCCTGCCAGCCCCTCACACCCAGAACCAAACTCCTCCTGCTTGCTGTGTCTTCACTTGTATTCTACTGGAACCCAAAGGGTTCTACTGGTTTCCTTTGTTCTCTTTCAGCGTTTCTGCTGATGAGGTACTTAATTTCTCCCACCTCCCTACCTAATCATCTGGGTCTCAGGGAGTTTCCCATTTGGTGCCTTCTGCTGTCCCTTCATCTCCGCCATGGCCCCAGCTCTGCCCTTTCTTGTCTCTGCAGTCACAACCCACTCCGAACGGAATCCCTGGTCTCCAGACCCGCCCTGTACACGAGCACCAAGCTCATCATCCCGAAAATGCCACC